CTTAATAATTAAAATCGATTAATCGCCCAGCCCTACCTGTGGTCATTGAAAACTCAGGTGGAGATTGTTGAGGAGTGTAAGTTTCTTGGTCTAACTTTGTCCAACGATTTGAGATGGGACAAAAACACCAACCATATTGTTAAGAAAGCTCGCCAACGTCTTTACTTCCTGCAAAAACTCAGAGAATTTACAAGTAACTCTAAGATTTTGCTAAACTTCCACCGCTGCACCATAGAAAGCCTTCTTGCTGGTACGATCACCGTGTGGTTCGGCAGCGTCACTGCCAAAGAAAAGAGAGCTCTGAACAAAGTGGTCCATTCTGCTCGGAGGACTGTGAACCGTGATATACCCTTTCTGGAGGCTCTGTATGAGAGCAGACTCTTAAACCGAGCCCTGAGGATCGTAAATGACTCCTCTGGTCATCCTGGAGCGGCCTTGTTCCAGCCTCTTCCCTCCAGTAGAAGATTCCGGTCTGTGCGGTGCAGGACCACCCGCCATGCGAATAGCTTCTTCCCTCAGGCGGTTATAAGACTGAACCGAGCGTCCTGAGATCTGCTTCTCTTGTAGCTCCTTTGTAGCGTCTTAATAATGCCTTTAAGAGTTTTATATGTGCCTCACTGTGTCTCGCTATTTTATTCTGTTGTGTGTAAGTGCTTTGTTGTGTTGGTGCCCCCAGTGTCTCCTGTTTGTATTCCAATGTAGTTTTTTTCTGAAAATGGCAAATAAATTCATTCTGATTTCATTCATTCATTCCAATGTCCAGCTTTGTACAACAACAAAGATTACAAAAGCTTTGTAAACTAGCAATAGCTTTTACTGAAGTATCTTTTGTATATATTTATTTATGACTAATAAGCATGCATTAAGTCCTTAACCAGCCAAAGAGTTCCGCCGGTTTATTTAATTTAATTTTTGACAAAGATTTGTTTTTGTTTTTTTTTATATGTAGTGAAGTTCTAAAAACTGATTTTGAAATTTCATGATTCCTGTGTGGACTGAAATTAGGACTAAAAAGTCCTCAACCTGATCCACCCTTTTTTCTGTTCAAGTTAGTAACCCTACTCACTAACCACAGGGTCTTCAGTTCAATCTGCACTTCAAAAGCATGGTGTCTCTTTAATATGGAATTAAGATAAGATAAACCTTTATTAGTCTCACAGTGGAGAAATGTCAGTGTCATCGTTGCACATTACAGCAGAGAGAGGACATAAGAGCACTCAGATTGCACACATCAAAGTCTATTATTTAAGATAATAGACAATAAATGTAAGATAAAATAAAATAAAATAAAATGAGAAAATCTGGGCTATAATTGCACTTGGTTCGGAGTATTTACAGATGTCTATATTATACATTAGCAGCGGAGAATATGAGCAGAATAAACATCAGAAATAATATCAACAGGTAAAGTGACTTGAATGGGAGAATTATCAGATGGATAAGTAATCATACAGTCAAATATCAACAGGTAAAGTGACTGGTGAAAGGCAGAATTATCAGATATGTAATAATATGCTAAAAATGTATTAAATACTGGATAAAATATTGGTGATTTTGTTTGTGGTGCCTGGACACACCTGATTTTCAAACTCAAAAACTATATATATTAGATTCTAATATAAATAAGTAACAATCCTGACCTATTGAAATTCACACACCAAAGTATACCGCAATATATACGTCTACCGTCTGTGCCCCAAATTATACCGCAATATGAATTTTAGGCCATATCGCCCGCCCCCAGATCCAAGACACAAATGCAGTTTGGAGAATTTGGAGGTACTGCAGGACACCATGGAAGAGCTTGTTGAGGAGCTGCTTAAGATGGAAGATGGAGATGCACAAGAAGCGGGTACAAGGAGTGCAGCTGCAGAGATGGAGACTGCAGACGTGTCGGAACAGAGGCCTTCAGGTGCTAAAAGAAAAGAGTGATCTCCTACAAAGCAGGAGAGTTCAACGTGTGACACAAACACAGGAGGCTGTACTAGTGAGAGTACAAGCAAACCAGGAACTAACAAAGTATCTGCAGGAAGAAGCACTAGATGCATCATCTGATCCCTTGGTTTGGTGGCACGATAACTAAAGAAGGTTTCCCTTAATCTCCAAGCTGGTAAAAAAATACATGAGCATTTGTGCCACAAGCACGAGTTCAGACGAATGTTCAGCACAGCAGGGAACAAAGAGACCCCTGAGAGGTCCTTAAACCACACAAGGTTAACATGTTGGTTTAAGGACCTCTCAGCAGGGAACAAAGAGACCCCTGAGAGGTCCTCAAACCACACAAGGTTAACATGTTGGTTTTCCTCGCTCGCAATTGCTACAACTATTTTTCCAGAACAAGTCAATTTACGTTCATACATTTGTCAAGTGAATATCGTTTTGAATTTCATAATTTCTTAGGAAGGCACCATGTCTGGTGGCTGGTTAAACATTTGATTTCTTTAAGACATTTTAAAATGTTCTTGTTGTGCTACCTCAATACCGTTCGTTACTTTAAAATGTTGTTCCTGTTGTGCTACCTCCAATATTGTTCAATGGAGAAATATCAGACTTCCGGCTCGTGTCAGGACGTTCTGGTGTGAAGTCCTCTGGCGTCTGAAAACTAAAGAATGCGCGTTTGGTGAGCGGGGCTTCAGCGTTTCAGCGTTGGCGATGTGAAAGCCCCATAAGCACGAGGAAACTGCATTTCAGATTCATGTTGCTTAAATCTGGAACAATCTTCCTGGAGACAGGCCTCCTCTCTGATAATGTTTAAAACCAGGTGAAAAACTGTTCTGTTTAGCTGTGCATACAACTGAGGGATTTTATATTTTAACTAACATTTCACTAATATGTAAGGGACAACATATAGTGCGCAGGTCATTATCGGAAAATAAGTACCGACAGGGCGCCCTGAAGGTACTTATTCACTAGGGGAAATTGGTTTTGCAGCATAAATCATCTAAAAAACAGGCAGATACAGTAAAATCACAACATTGACAAAACAAGAACAAAAGAGAATGTCACAAAACAAATTTTCAGTGCAAAGGTTTGTAAAAGTGCTATGTGCTGTTAAGGTGCTTCACAGCTGTTGGGATAAATGTAGTTCCCAACCGTTTTGTCCTACACCCAAGAGCCCTATAGCGTCGTCCTGAGGGTAAAAGTTCAAACTGCTCCCTCAGGGGGTGGTCCAAAGAACCTTCCTCAGCACCTGCTTACTGTACAGGTCTTTGGGCTGAGCCTGTGTTCTCCCTGACACCTTACTAGCCACTTTAACCAGACTGCCAAGTCTGTTTTTGTTTGCTTGGGATAGGCTTCCAAACCATGCAGTGATACAAAATGTAAACACAGATTCAATAAAAGAACGATAAAACAAGGTCATCGACACCTTAAAAGTGTTCATGCGCCTAAGAAAGTACATTCTCTGCTGCACTTTCTTACAGACTGCATCGACCAAGGGTTCAAAGCCAAGCCTGTGGTCCACAATAACCCCCAGATACCTGTACTGCTCCACAAGCTCAAGTATACGTTATACTATACTATACGTTATCCCGCTTATTACACGGCTTTATACCAACAGAACACACAACATAAACTTCAGTCCACTTTTAGGAATGCGGAAAGGTTTAATTAAAATAAGAAATAAAATAAAATAGTTCCCAAAGGCTTTCCCGTGGCTATGCTAGCAACAGTTAGGCTGGCAACTTCCAAACTCGAATTCCCTGGAACTGCATGAAAACTGAACAAAGAATCCTGAACATCAGCGGTGAGTGACCCAAACATAAACTTAACCTAAATCCATAATTCCATTCTCTGCAAATGTGTCCTAAAATGTGCCGGTTTTCGGGATCGCCTTTTCTCGCATTACAGCTAGGGTTGGGCGATATGGGCCTCAGCATGTATCACGATTTTTGTTGGTATGTATCACGATATGACGATATGATAATTTTAACAAAGCCTCATATAAAAGCTATAAAAACTTAGCACTGATAATTTTAAACACACTTGCCTCAAAGTGCATTTACTGATTTATTGGCAGCAAAATGTGTAATACAGCTATTGTATATAAAATAGGGCTGGGATAAACGATTATTTTTTAAACGATTAATCTAGCGATTATTTTTTCGATGCATCGATTAATCTAACGATTATTTTTTTCGCTTCGATTCGATTTCGATTCGATTTCGATTCGATTCGATTCTCGATTATCTCCCCATTAATTGACTAATATTGATGTATACATGTTGATTTAAATATTTTAATGAAAAAAACATGAATTCCTTCACAAAAAATATGTATTGCTTGCTCTTAAAATTAAAAAATAAGACATTCTTAGAGGTAGCATAAAACCTTAAAGCCTTGAAAACACAGCTTACTGAAAAAAGTGCATCTTATCATTCTTGAAACAAACATTTGATGCTTAGCATTCAATAAAAATATGAAAAAGTTCAGCCAAATACTTGTGTAGAGCAACTAAAAGAAAACAGTAACCAATGTAAACTTGAAGGCTTTAAGCTAAACAAAGGCTGTGTCCAAAACGCTAGGCATCAGGCCGCGTAGGGTGGACGGCTATTGCAGGGGTGTCCAAAACCACTTGGCGAGCTCGCCAAGCGTAGGCATCATGACTTCGTCTCTATGGAAACGGCCACTTTTGAAGCAGATATGAAGGATGCATTTGATGTATGCTTCGCTGCCTTCCCCGCGTTGAGTTCGCGGGGTTCGATTCGCGGGGCTTATTTTCACTATGGAGGCACCAGCAACAGCTACCCCTGTCCCCACTGTAGTTAAATGTAAGTATATTTCATGTTATAATATTCTTACATGACTAATAACACTTATAAAGAAATATTATTTGAATTTTAAGCAACGAATTGCGCTATTTCATTTGTTTTAGAGTGTTTTCTTCTGTGGCTTATGATAGCTTAGTTGTAACTGTAACTAAATTAGCATTGTCACAGTTAGTTATATTTTATTCCTTTATGTAGTTTTAACGTTTTATTTTGTTCATAGGGACGAAGGAGATGACGGAGACCTTCATAAGGGTGCGGGCGGAGAACGACGTCCTCTTCACTGGGGCGAAGTTCTCCGCCAGCACGGCCTGGAGGTACGAGCTGTTTGAGAAATGTCACTGTTTAGCTTATGATTAATTTAAGTTATCTGGAATTGACTTTAGGACTGCATATTTTGTTCTTAATGTGAGTTTAATACTTAATATATACATGGGTATACAAGGGTTTAGAAAAGCTGGTGCTATTCTCCAATACAACAGTCATCATTATGACAAATCTATAATTAAGTTGTAGAAGAGTATATCAATCATAACAAAAGAACAAAAATGAGAAACGTATAACTATTGTTTTCTGCATTAACATAATCAATAATGTCAGGAATTCTCTAACACATAAAGTAAGTTTTTCTGTTTCTTTATTTTATTGTTTCTGTCTTTTCTATAGGACTGTCCTGGAGAAGCTTGACCTGCAGGAGGTGGTCACGCCCCTGCAGGCCCGTAAGAAGTGGGACAACTTGAAGAAAAAGTATAAAGTATGACAATCAATCTTGTTTTTGTGAGTTTGTCACGTGTGTGTGCGTGTGTGAGTGTGTCTGCGTGTGTGTGAGTGTGTCTGCGTGTGTGTGAGTGTGTCTGCATGTGTGTGAGTGTGTCTGCATGTGTGTGTGTGTGTCTGCCTGTGCCGACATGAGCCCATCATGACTCCACATATATTTCTTGTGTTAAAGGACTGTAAATGCCCTGGAACAGGCCAGGGCGTGGAGGGGAACCCCACTGCTGGGACTTGGCCCTGGTTTGGCATCATGGATGAGGTGTTGGGGCAGAAGCCGTCCATCAACCCTCCTGTCCTAATCGCCTCCATCCCTGATGCCAGACCAGGGCCAAGCCAGGCCAGAGAGCAGGAGCCGGAGCAGGAGGAGGAAGAGCCAGAGGCGGAGCAGCAGAGAGGAACGGGAAGGAAGAGGAAGAGGGAGAGGGAGCTGGTGAAGCTGTACAGGAGGATCTGAGGATGCAGAGGGAGGAGGATGAGCGGCGGGCACAGGAGAGGAGTGCCAATTTTGACAGGCTGTTTTGCCTCCTCGAAAAGATGATTGAAAATAAAAACAAATAAAAATAAACTATTTTTGTTTGATTTACATTTCGAAAAAGCCCATAAAAGTATAACATACATTTGAAATGATGGATAGATCAAGGTCTCAAGGTCTTCACATTAATAGATTAAGCCGTAAGTAAGTTAAATAAATTAATATCTATTTACTTTGGGACTTTCTCAGAGTGAATTTGGTGGGGCCATATCTAAGGCTTCCAACCTGAGAACATTTGGCAAACCACAGCTCTGATGTGTTGGTTATTTTAAAAACAAATGTGTGTTTGTCTACCCAACAGTGGCTTTACATTTCCCCTTGAAGGTGTGTATGATTGGTTAATTTCTTTATGTAATTTCTATATTTTGTATATACACAGATTTTATACACTTGTTTGATGGGACAAAAACCCCCTGGTAAATGTGTGAAGCAGTTCGAGAGCTCAAGTATTATTTTGTGGAATCAAAAATATAGCACAAGAAAATCAATGTAACCATTTATTCAACAAACAATAAAATAAAACTATTAACAAGCCATACAGGATAAACCTGAGAGTGCCAGTGCTGTGTGGCTAAGCAGGGACTCGTTTGGAGTGTTGCTGAATCCCATTCTCCAGGACCAGCAACATGGAAGGGTGCAGAGATCAGGGTCCTGGTCTTCCTCTTCTGGCGAGTGAGGCATCATACCGGGGGTGTGTCCACTTCATCGTCCATTTGTTGGGTTTGCACGGCTGGCTGGGGCAATAGATGGCTGCCATGTCCTATAAAAAGATGGTATAAAAAGATTCACATTTGTTTAAAAAATAAAACATTTTATACACACAAGTGAATGGATGTGTGACAAAGTGACTTGTCTGTGGATTTGTTTGGACAACTTCACACATATTTACATAAGTAATTAATTGTTTAAATACCTAAAGGTACTCATGGTCCATTTGCACCTCCTCCAGGGCAGACATCTCAGCAGACAGACGGTCTCTCCACTGCGCTGCTGAGACGGTGTCCTCCTCCCCCTCATCCTCCTCTGGGCTGTCCTCTGGGCTGTCCTCTGGGGCCACAACATCTCCAACTCCAAGGCAGATGTTGTGAAGGACAGCACAAGCGGCGATGACCTGAAAAAGCTGCAGTATTAATTACATGGATAAAGACTATTATAGATATTATGATAAATACTGTATTTTGAAGTGAATTACAGGAAGTTGAAAATGTTTGAAAGTTTGCAAACATGGTTATCACTTACATTTGGTGCAAAGGTGTGGTGCACCTCCAGGGTGTGAAAGAAGATGGCCCGGAACCTCGTCTTCATCATTCCAAAGGCACGCTCAATAATGGAGCGTGCCCTGGAATGATGAGCGTTGAAGCGCCGGGCCGCCACACCCTGCACCGGCCGCTTGTAGGGAGTGATGAGGGGGAGAGGACGCTGGAGGCAGGGATACCCTCCATCCGCCAAGAGGAAGTGCCCTGGAGGAGGATACAGCCCTCTGAGGTACAGAGGGCTGTAGCGGAGGACCCTGGAGTCGTGGACTGACCCAGGCCAGCCCACGTAGATGTCCATGAAGCGGCCCTGATGGTCACACAGCGCTTGAAGAATTAGGCTTGCAAAAAGTTTCCTATTCTGGAAGCATTGACCATCAGGGCCGCCTGGAGGCTTGATCGCGACGTGACAGCCATCTATTGCCCCAGCAGCTCTTGTGAAGACCTCGCTCCTCGCCAGCCGTGCAAACCCCCGGGTCACTGTCTGCAGGTCTTCAGGGGTGTTTGGGAGGTGGATGACTCGGTGGCGTAGTGCCACCACCTCCCCAGTGACCCGGTGGACAATGAAGTGGACGGTGGATCTGGGCATCCCAAAGACCCGGGACACCACCCGGTATGATGCCCCACTAGCCAGCCAGAAGAGGAAGACCAGGACCTCAATCTCTGCACCCCATCCATGGTGCCGGTCCTGGTGCAGGAGGTTCAGCAACACACCAAACGAGTCCCTGCTCAGCCGAAAATCTGGACGCAAATCTCCATTATTAAAAAAAATGTCCAGCACTGGCACCCTCAGGTTTACCCTGCAGTAAGGACTCCTATCCTGTTGGAAAAACAAATACAAAAAGTGAATGTGTCATTCCAGATTTTGTAACTACTCTTTATAAATAATGTATGTACATAATGTATGTATAATATAATCATTTTTTATATGCAATAGGTTAAGATCATTAGTTAAAACGTGGGCAGTGGTGACCTCTATTGGTAATGAGTATTGTTGCAATGTTTTTGATGACTATTCATTGAATTATGTGTAATGCTAGCTCTATTAAAACAAAGGAAAACGTTTTAACTTTAGTACCATTGGTCTTTGTTATGTTTAGTACATCTGTAACAATTTCATGCTAACCATTTTTGACTGTCAAAACAGTATAATCTCGTATAAAAAACGTAACTTACATTGTGGGTGCGCAGAAGGACCACTCGTCGCCTGCGTGCGTGCCTGTCCCTCTCGAGCTTATTGAATAAATTGAAAATGATGAAATACAACATTGCTAAGTCGGGATCCATCCTTACAAAAACAAAATCATGAGCAGATGGAATCAATCCTGGCAACGATTCTGTAATTACATAATAAAAAAAGAGTAGAAACAAATTAATGACAACAAATACAATATTTTGTCTTATACTCCTGCAGTAGTTGTGGTTGTTAACTGCTATAATAATTAGACATCAGGGCAGAATGTGTATGTAATTTTTGTTTACAAAGTACACTTATCAGCAGTCCATATACTAACAATAAGTTAGCTTTTGACTTCAGACAATTGTAATATACACAAATCCAAGTTATTAATCTGTTTTCAAAAAACATGTTTCAACAAATATAATGCAACTTACTTATATACACAAAACAGATGAGCAAGGGCCATACAAATATATTGATTACATTAAAAAAGTGCTAAATCTACATAATGCATATATATAATGGAACTAGTAATTATACCATTTATTATAACAAAGAAAATCCCTCATTGCCTTCACTTAGGGTTGTCTTGTTTTCATATTTGACTACTAGCATCAGGGGAGCTTGTCAAAATGAGTCCCAGCGTTTAGGAGTCTTGTCTGGGCATCGGCGCCGCCCACCCCCGCTGTTAGCTAGTGGATAAGTCCGAAAAAAAAATCTATTTTATCACCAAACAGACCTGTGATATGACAATAGAGGGGGGTATTTCTCGCCTCAAATGTTATTACAATTAACTATTATACCCTAATCAAAGCGTATTTCAAACTTTTCACCTTCCATCATGGCGGCGCTGTCCTTTCTCTCCGCGCTCCGCTCTGAGTCTGGTTACCAGGCAACGAAGGCAGCTGCTGTCCAAATCCACCTCAGGTCTCGCCTCCTTCCTCGCCTGTGGCTACGCGGCCTTCCCTCGATGCCTACATATCCACCCTACGCGGCCTGAATGCCTAGCGTTTTGGACACAGCCAGCCAGACATACATTTTTAAAAACAATTCTACAAAAATGCTTATGTTGGAACCGCTAAAAAAGGACATCACTTTATTAATTTCAATTTCAACCACCTAAACATTAGAGTTCATGTTCTCCTTTAACATGTCCTACAGAAAGAATGACAATCATGATCAATCAATGTTTATTTCTATAGCACAGTTCATACAGAATGCAACCCAAAGTGTCTCTGCCTCTGTCTCTCTGTCTCTGTCTCTCTGTATCTCTGTCTCTGTCTCTGCCTCTGTCTCTCTGTCTCTCTGTCTCTGTCTCTCTGTATCTCTGTCTCTCTCTCTCTGTCTCTGTCTCTGTCTCTCTCTCTGTCTCTCTCTCTGTCTCTCTCTCTCTGTCTCTCTGCCTCTGTCTCTGTCTCTCTGCCTCTGTCTCTGCCTCTGTCTCTGTCTCTCTCTCTCTGTCTCTCTCTCTCTGTCTCTCTCTCTCTGTCTCTCTCTCTCTGTCTCTCTGTCTCTCTGCCTCTGTCTCTCTGTCTCTCTGTCTCTGTCTCTGTCTCTGTCTCTGTCTCTGTTTCTCTGTCTCTGTCTCTCTGTCTCTGCCTCTGCCTCTGTCTCTCTGTCTCTGTCTCTGCCTCTGTCTCTCTGTCTCTGCCTCTGTCTCTCTGTCTCTGCCTCTGTCTCTGCCTCTGCCTCTGCCTCTGTCTCTGCCTCTGTCTCTCTGTCTCTGTCTCTCTGCCTCTGTCTCTCTGTCTCTGTCTCTGTCTCTGCCTCTCTCTCTGCCTCTGCCTCTGTCTCTGTCTCTGTCTCTGCCTCTGCCTCTGTCTCTGTCTCTGTCTCTGCCTCTGTCTCTGTCTCTGTCTCTGTCTCTGCCTCTGTCTCTGCCTCTGTCTCTGTCTCTGTCTCTGCCTCTGTCTCTGTCTCTGCCTCTGCCTCTGCCTCTGTCTCTCTGTCTCTGCCTCTGCCTCTGCCTCTGTCTCTCTGTCTCTGCCTCTGTCTCTGTCTCTGCCTCAGTCTCTGTCTCTGTCTCTGCCTCTGTCTCTGTCTCTGTCTCTGCCTCTGCCTCTGCCTCTGTGTCTCTGTCTCTGTCTCTGTCTCTGTCTCTGTCTCTGCCTCTGCCTCTGCCTCTGCCTCTGTCTCTGTCTCTGTCTCTGCCTCTGCCTCTGCCTCTGCCTCTGCCTCTGCCTCTGTCTCTGTCTCTGTCTCTGTCTCTGTCTCTGTGTCTCTGTCTCTGCCTCTGTCTCTCTGCCTCTGTCTCTGCCTCTGTCTCTGCCTCTGTCTCTGCCTCTGTCTCTGTCTCTGCCTCTGTCTCTGTCTCTGTCTCTCTGTCTCTGCCTCTGTCTCTGCCTCTGTCTCTGCCTCTGTCTCTGTCTCTGTCTCTGTCTCTGTCTCTGCCTCTGTCTCTCTGCCTCTGTCTCTGCCTCTGTCTCTGTCTCTGTCTCTGTCTCTGTCTCTGTCTCTGTCTCTGCCTCTGTCTCTGCCTCTGTCTATGTCTTTATTCCCAAATGGTTTTATTGTTTCCCAATGTCTATCCTGTGTCTGTAAAGCTCCTGAGTTGCTTGAATGAATGGTGCTGTATAAATAAATGTGCCTCGAATAGACGCAGTCGTTACAGTTAGAGACTAACTTTTCTTTCCCTCTGGGGTCAGAACGATCCCGGCTTCCTGAGCACCATCCACAACACCTATCTGCACAGACTGAGAGAGGAGCTGAGCCATCTGAAGCTGTAGCAGGTCTGTGGACCAGAGGGAGACCAGAGGGAGACCAGAGAGAGACCAGAGAGAGAGACCAGAGAGAGACCAGAGAGAGACCAGAGAGAGACCAGAGAGAGACCAGAGAGAGAGACCAGAGAGAGACCAGAGAGACCAGAGAGAGAGAGACCAGAGAGAGAGACCAGAGAGAGACCAGAGAGAGACCAGAGAGAGAGAGACCAGAGGGAGAGACCAGAGAGAGAGACCAGAGGAGAGACCAGAGAGAGAGACCAGAGAGAGAGACCAGAGAGACCAGAGGAGAGAGACCAGAGGGAGAGACCAGAGGGAGAGACCAGAGAGAGAGACCAGAGAGAGAGAGACCAGAGAGAGAGACCAGAGAGAGAGACCAGAGAGAGACCAGAGAGAGAGACCAGAGAGAGAGAGACCAGAGGGAGAGACCAGAGGGAGAGACCAGAGAGAGAGACCAGGGAGAGACCAGAGGGAGAGAGACAGAGAGAGAGAGACCAGAGAGGGAGAGACCAGAGGGAGAGAGACCAGAGAGGGAGAGACCAGAGAGAGAGACCAGAGGGAGAGACCAGAGAGAGAGACCAGAGGGAGAGACCAGAGAGAGAGACCAGAGAGAGAGACCAGAGAGAGAGACCAGAGAGAGAGACCAGAGAGAGAGACCAGAGAGAGAGACCAGAGAGAGAGACCAGAGAGAGAGACCAGAGAGAGAGACCAGAGAGAGAGACCAGAGAGAGACCAGAGAGAGAGACCAGAGAGAGAGACCAGAGAGAGAGACCAGAGAGAGACCAGAGAGAGAGACCAGAGAGAGAGACCAGAGAGAGAGACCAGAGAGAGAGACCAGAGAGAGAGAGACCAGAGAGGAGAGAGACCAGAGAGAGAGAGACCAGAGGGAGAGAGAGACCAGAGGAGAGAGACCAGAGGGAGAGAGAGACCAGAGGGAGAAAGAGACAGAGGGAGAGAGAGACCAGAGAGAGAGAGACCAGAGGGAGAGAGAGACCAGAGACCAGAGGGAGAGACCAGAGGGAGAGACCAGAGGGAGAGACCAGAGGGAGAGACCAGAGGGAGAGAGAGACCAGAGGGAGAGAGAGACCAGAGAGAGACAGAGAGACCAGAGAGAGAGACCAGAGGGAGAGAGACCAGAGGGAGAGAGACCAGAGGGAGAGACCAGAGGGAGAGACCAGAGGGAGAGACCAGAGGGAGAGACCAGAGGGAGAGACCAGAGGGAGAGACCAGAGGGAGAGAGACCAGAGGGAGAGAGACCAGAGGGAGAGAGACCAGAGGAGAGAGACCAGAGGAGAGAGACCAGAGAGAGAGACCAGAGGAGAGAGACCAGAGGGAGAGAGACCAGAGGGAGAGACCAGAGAGAGAGACCAGAGGGAGAGACCAGAGGGAGACCAGAGAGAGAGACCAGAGAGAGAGACTAGAGAGACCAGAGGGAGAGACCAGAGGGAGAGACCAGAGGGAGAGACCAGAGGGAGAGACCAGAGAGAGAGACCAGAGAGAGAGAGACCAGAGAGAGAGACCAGAGAGAGAGACCAGAGAGAGACCAGAGAGAGAGACCAGAGGGAGAGACCAGAGGGAGAGACCAGAGGGAGAGACCAGAGAGAGAGACCAGAGGGAGAGACCAGAGGGAGAGAGACCAGAGAGAGAGAGACCAGAGGGAGAGACCAGAGGGAGAGAGACCAGAGGGAGAGACCAGAGGGAGAGACCAGAGGGAGAGACCAGAGGGAGAGACCAGAGGGAGAGACCAGAGGGAGAGACCAGAGGAGAGACCAGAGAGAGAGACCAGAGAGAGAGACCAGAGAGAGAGACCAGAGAGAGAGACCAGAGAGAGAGACCAGAGAGAGAGACCAGAGAGAGAGACCAGAGAGAGAGACCAGAGAGAGAGACCAGAGAGAGAGACCAGAGAGAGAGACCAGAGAGAGAGACCAGAGAGAGACCAGAGAGAGAGACCAGAGAGAGAGACCAGAGAGAGACCAGAGAGAGAGACCAGAGAGAGAGACCAGAGAGAGAGACCAGAGAGAGAGACCAGAGAGAGAGACCAGAGAGAGAGAGAGACCAGAGGGAGAGAGAGACCAGAGGGAGAGAGAGACCAGAGGGAGAGAGAGACCAGAGGGAGAGAGAGACCAGAGGGAGAGAGAGACCAGAGGGAGAGAGAGACCAGAGGGAGAGAGACCAGAGGGAGAGACCAGAGGGAGAGACCAGAGAGAGAGACCAGAGAGAGAGACCAGAGAGAGAGACCAGAGAGAGAGACCAGAGAGAGAGACCAGAGAGAGAGACCAGAGAGAGAGACCAGAGGGAGAGAGACCAGAGGGAGAGACCAGAGGGAGAGAGAGACCAGAGGGAGAGAGACCAGAGGGAGAGACCAGAGGGAGAGACCAGAGGGAGAGACCAGAGGGAGAGACCAGAGGGAGAGAGACCAGAGGGAGAGAGACCAGAGGGAGAGAGACCAGAGGGAGAGAGACCAGAGGGAGAGAGACCAGAGGGAGAGAGACCAGAGGGAGAGAGACCAGAGGGAGAGAGACCAGAGGGAGAGAGACCAGAGTGAGAGAGACCAGAGAGTTTTTGAACTGGAACGCTGATGTTCTTTTCACGTGTTTGTGCTGATTGTTCACTGCAGATCTGGCGACCGAATCCAGGACATCAGGACAAGTTTGTTAAATGACAACACAGTGGACTCTGATCCTGGATGGGACTGACACAGACCTGGAGCTGTTCTTAGCTCCATCCACGCTGCTACAGACATGTGACCCCCGGCCCTTCTGTGTCCATGCTCTGTTTTCAAACATCGTCACGTCGGACAAAGCCGTTATCTGCCTTTTTAAGAATAAATGTTTTGACTCTAATTTGTGTTGAATTTATTATTATTCGAGACTAAAGAGAGAGACCAGAGAGGGGGAGACCATGAGAGAGAGAGACCAGAGAGGGGGAGACCATGAGAGAGAGAGACCATGAGAGAGGTCCAGACCCAGCCTCCTCTGTGGATGACACAGCCTCAGTCCTAGGTGTAAATCCATCTATTCTAGTGCCACGGCTTATTAACCTCGCTCGGTCTGTACAAAAATACCAAAGTACAGACCGAGCAAGCGAGGTTAATAAATGTTTTATTATAGAACTATTTTTCATTTATGCAAATATCGATCTCCGACTTGGTTTTCCTAATCGTGTTTTTAGCTTTCTGGTCTGTAACAAAGTTGTCAATCTCTTCTTGACTGTTGTTGTAGAAGGAGTTGTGTTTTCGTCGTTATTTGCTGTTATTACTTCCTCTGGCTCTTCAAAGTCGTCGCTCTTTTTTTTTTTACCGAGGAAAGATATCAAAGTCTGATACGTGCTGCGGATCGATTGTCATGGTAACGGTCCGAGGTGGGAAAATATCAGACCGCAAATCAGCCAATCAGAGCGCGGGTACGATCCAAGTCATATAATAAACAAATATAAATCCTCTCTTCTTTGTATAATGTTCTGCCCACAACAAAACAAAACGATTGTAGCTCGAGGAAAACAACTTTTTGGCACATTTTCAAAACGGAGACACGTGTTTGTGTTTTTGTTGTTGTTGCACACTTTGTCCACGAGATGGAGCCACAGTCAGAGGGACCAAAGTGAGAGAGTAGGACCAGAGGGAGAGACCAGAAAGAGAGAGACCAGAGAGAGAGAGAGAGATCAGAGAGAGTAGGACCAGAGGGAGAGACCAGAAAGAGAGAGACCAGAGAGAGAGAGAGATCAGAGAGAGTAGGACCAGAGGGAGAGACCAGAAAGAGAGAGACCAGAGAGAGAGAGAGATCAGAGAGAGTAGGACCAGAGGGAGAGACCAGAAAGAGAGAGACCAGAGAGAGAGAGAGATCAGAGAGAGTAGGACCAGAGGGAGAGACCAGAGAGAGAGAGATCAGAGAGAGACCAGAGAGAGAGACCAGAGAGAGACCAGAGAGAGAGACCAGAGAGAGAGACCAGAGAGCGAGACCAGAGAGAGAGACCAGAGAGAGAGACCAGAGAGCGAGACCAGAGAGAGAGACCAGAGAGAGAGACCAGAGAGAGAGACCAGAGAGAGAGACCAGAGAGCGAGACCAGAGAGCGAGACCAGAGAGCGAGACCAGAGAGAGAGACCAGAGAGCGAGACCAGAGAGAGAGACCAGAGAGAGACCAGAGAGAGAGACCAGAGAGCGAGACCAGAGAGAGAGACCAGAGAGAGACCAGAGAGAGAGACCAGAGAGAGACCAGAGAGAGAGACCAGAGAGAGAGACCAGAGAGAGACCAGAGAGAGACCAGAGAGAGAGACCAGAGAGAGACCAGAGAGAGACCAGAGAGAGAGACCAGAGAGAGACCAGAGAGACCAGAGAGAGACCAGAGAGAGAGACCAGAGAGAGACCAGAGAGAGAGACCAGAGAGAGACCAGAGAGAGAGATGAGAGAGACCAGAGAGAGAGCAGAGCGAGACCAGAGAGAGACCAGAGAGAGACCAGAGAGAGAGACCAGAGAGAGACCAGAGAGAGAGACCAGAGAGAGACCAGAGAGAGAGATGAGAGAGACCAGAGAGAGAGCAGAGCGAGACCAGAGAGCGAGACCAGAGAGAGAGCAGAGAGAGAGACCAGAGAGAGAGCATCATGCTGTGGATACATGTGCACTGTCTCTCTTCGTGTTTCGTGCTCTTCAGTTTCTGCACCTCTGCTGTGGTCTTTAACCCATGATCCTCTTGGTTTGTGCTCATCGCGTGCTGCTGGTCAGACCTCGGCCTGTGATTGGCTGAAGCAGAGAGGTCCGTGAGGCAGCGTGGATCCCTTTAACTGCAGATTAGCCTCATTCCACGGCTTTACTTCTGCTGCTGCATACCCCCCTGTGGAGCTCCAGACCCGGGACCACTCTGCTCTCTCACCCCCTGTGGAGCTCCAGACCCGGGACCACTCTGCTCTCTCACCCCCCTGTGGAGCTCCAGACCCAGGACCACTCTGCTCTCTCTCGCCCCCTGTGGAGCTCCAGACCCGGGACCACTCTGCTCTCTCACCCCCCTGTGGAGCTCCAGACCCAGGACCACTCTGCTCTCTCTCGCCCCCTGTGGAGCTCCAGACCCAGGACCACTCTGCTCTCTCTCACCCCCCTGTGGAGCTCCAGACCCGGGACCACTCTGCTCTCTCTCACCCTCCTGTGGAGCTCCAGACCCAGGACTCTGCTCTCTCTCGCCCCCCTGTGGAGCTCCAGACCCAGGACCACTCTGCTCTCTCTCACCCCCTGTGGAGCTCCAGACCCAGGACCACTCTGCTCTCTCTCACCCTCCTGTGGAGCTCCAGACCCAGGACTCTGCTCTCTCTCGCCCCCCTGTGGAGCTCCAGACCCGGGACCACTCTGCTCTCTCTCACCCCCTGTGGAGCTCCAGACCCAGGACCTCTCTGCTCTCTCTCACCCCCTGTGGAGCTCCAGACCCGGGACCACTCTGCTCTCTCTCACCCTCCTGTGGAGCTCCAGACCCAGGACTCTGCTCTCTCTCGCCCCCCTGTGGAGCTCCAGACCCAGGACTCTGCTCTCTCTCACCCCCCTGTGGAGCTCCAGACCCAGGACCACTCTGCTCTCTCTCACCCTCCTGTGGAGCTCCAGACCCAGGACTCTGCTCTCTCTCGCCCCCTGTGGAGCTCCAGACCCAGGACCACTCTGCTCTCTCTCACCCCCCTGTGGAGCTCCAGACCCAGGACTCTGCTCTCTCTCACCCTCCTGTGGAGCTCCAGACCCAGGACCACTCTGCTCTCTCTCACCCCTGTGGAGCTCCAGACCCAGGACCACTCTGCTCTCTCTCGCCCCCTGTGGAGCTCCAGACCCAGGACCACTCTGCTCTCTCTCACCCCCCTGTGGAGCTCCAGACCCAGGACTCTGCTCTCTCTCACCCCCCTGTGGAGCTCCAGACCCAGGACCACTCTGCTCTCTCTCGCCCCCTGTGGAGCTCCAGACCCAGGACCACTCTGCTCTCTCTCGCCCCCTGTGGAGCTCCAGACCCAGGACCACTCTGCTCTCTCTCACCCCCCTGTGGAGCTCCAGACCCAGGACCACTCTGCTCTCTCTCACCCCCCTGTGGAGCTCCAGACCCAGGACCACTCTGCTCTCTCTCACCCTCCTGTGGAGCTCCAGACCCAGGACTCTGCTCTCTCTCACCCCCCTGTGGAGCTCCAGACCCGGGACCACTCTGCTCTCTCTCACCCCCTGTGGAGCTCCAGACCCAGGACTCTGCTCTCGCTCACCCCCTGTGGAGCTCCAGACCCAGGACTCTGCTCTCTCTCACCCCCTGTGGAGCTCCAGACCCAGGACTCTGCTCTCTCTCACCCCCCCTGTGGGGCTCCAGACCCGGGACCACTCTGCTCTCTCTCACCCCCCTGTGGAGCTCCAGACCCAGGACCACTCTGCTCTCTCTCACCCCCCTGTGGAGCTCCAGACCCAGGACCACTCTGCTCTCTCTCACCCCCCTGTGGAGCTCCAGACCCAGGACCACTCTGCTCTCTCTCGCCCCCTGTGGAGCTCCAGACCCAGGACCACTCTGCTCTCTCTCACCCCCTGTGGAGCTCCAGACCCGGGACCACTCTGCTCTCTCTCACCCCCTGTGGAGCTCCAGACCCAGGACTCTCTGCTCTCTCTCACCCCCCTGTGGAGCTCCAGACCCGGGACCACTCTGCTCTCTCTCACCCCCTGTGGAGCTCCAGACCCAGGACCACTCTGCTCTCTCTCGCCCCCTGTGGAGCTCCAGACCCAGGACTCTCTGCTCTCTCTCACCCCCCTGTGGAGCTCCAGACCCAGGACTCTCTGCTCTCTCTGTGACCCACCCAAAGCCCTCTCTCTCCCGGGAATATGATGCAGATGGACTACCACAAGCCGGACCAGCAGACCGTGCAGGCGCTCAAGAACATCGCTGCCCGCCTGAGGATTAACTCCATCAGGGCGACCACCGCAGCGGGGAGCGAGTGAGGGCCACAGGGGAACAATACAGTCAAGTTTGGGGAAAGAAAAATCAGTAATTACACAGTTAGGAAGAAGGGAGGTCTTGGTTGGAAAATGTCTTCAAAAAATGTGAACAAATTGCATTATTTGATTTTATTAATTTGAGAGATAGTGTTTTTAGGCTGTAGACCCTGGACTGAGGCTGTAGACCCAGGACTGAGGTTGTAGATCCAGGACTGAGGCTGTAGACCCAGGACTGAGGCTGTAGATTCAGGACTGAGGCTGTAGACCCAGGACTGAGGTTGTAGACCCAGGACTGAGGTTGTAGATCCAGGACTGAGGCTGTAGACCCAGGACTGAGGCTGTAGATTCAGGACTGAGGCTGTAGACCCAGGACTGAGGCTGTAGATCCAGGACTGAGGCTGTAGACCCAGGACTGAGGTTGTAGATCCAGGACTGAGGCTGTAGACCCAGGACTGAGGCTGTAGACCATGTGTGACCTATGGTGTTTCTGGTTTGCAGGAGAGGATGGTCCGTCCCAGATGGCGCTGGAGGACCATGTGTGACCTATGGTGTTTCTGGTTTGCAGGAGAGGATGGTCCGTCCCAGATGGCGCTGGAGGACCATGTGTGACCTATGGTGTTTCTGGTTTGCAGGAGAGGATAGTCTCTCTCTGGTCTCTCTCTGTTCTCTCTCTCTGGTCTCTCTCTGGTCTCTCTCTGGTCTCTCTCTCTGGTCTCTCTCTGGTCTCTCTCTGGTCTCTCTCTGGTCTCTCTCTGGTCTCTCTCTGGTCTCTCTCTGGTCTCTCTCTGGTCTCTCTCTCTGGTCTCTCTCTGGTCTCTCTCTCTGGTCTCTCACTGGTCTCTCTCTGGTCTCTCTCTGGTCTCTCTCTCTGGTCTCTCACTGGTCTCTCTCTGGTCTCTCTCTGGTCTCTCTCTGGTCTCTCTCTCTGGTCTCTCTCTGGTCTCTCTCTGGTCTCTCTCTGGTCTCTCTCTCTGGTCTCTCTCTGGTCTCTCTCTGGTCTCTCTCTGGTTCTCTGATGGTGTGACTGTCTCTAGAGCGTATTCACATCCGTGTGATCGACCCGTTCACCATCAAACCCCTGGACTCCAAAACCATCATCGACAACGCGCGAGCCACCAGGGGGCGCATCATCACCGTGGAGGACCACTACCATGAAGGTCAGTATACATGCCTCAGTATACATGTCTCAGTAAACATGTCTCTGTATACATGTCTCAGTATACATGTCTCAGTATACATGTCTCTGTATACATGCCTCAGTATACATGCCTCAGTATACATGTCTCAGTATACATGTCTCAGTATACATGCCTCAGTATACATGTCTCAGTATACATGCCTCAGTATACATGTCTCAGTATACACGTCTCTGTATACACGTCTCAGTATACATGTCTCAGTATACATGTCTCAGTATACATGTCTCAGTATACATGCCTCAGTATACATGTCTCAGTATACATGCCTCAGTATACATGTCTCAGTATACATGCCTCAGTATACATGTCTCAGTATACATGCCTCAGTATACACGTCTCTGTATACACGTCTCAGTATACATGTCTCAGTATACATGTCTCGGTATACATGTCTCAGTATACACGTCTCAGTATACTCTGTATACATGTCTCTGTATACATGCCTCAGTATACATGTCTCTGTATACATGTCTCTGTATACATGTCTCTGTATACATGTCTCTGTATACATGTCTCTGTATACATGTCTCTGTATACATGTCTCTGTATACATGTCTCAGTATACATGCCTCAGTATACATGCCTCAGTATACATGCCTCAGTATACATGTCTCAGTATACATGCCTCAGTATACATGCCTCAGTATACATGCCTCTGTATACATGTCTCTGTATACATGCCTCAGTATACATGTCTCGGTATACATGTCTCTGTATACATGTCTCAGTATACATGCCTCAGTATACATGTCTCTGTATACATGTCTCTGTATACATGCCTCAGTATACATGTCTCTGTATACATGTCTCAGTATACATGTCTCTGTATACATGTCTCAGTATACATGCCTCAGTATACATGTCTCGGTATACATGTCTCTGTATACATGTCTCTGTATACATGTCTCAGTATACATGCCTCAGTATACATGTCTCAGTATACATGCCTCAGTATACATGTCTCAGTATACATGTCTCTGTATACATGTCTCTGTATACATGTCTCAGTATACATGTCTCAGTATACATGTCTCAGTATACATGTCTCAGTATACATGTCTCTGTATACATGTCTCAGTATACATGCCTCAGTATACATGTCTCTGTATACATGTCTCTGTATACATGTCTCAGTATACATGCCTCAGTATACATGCCTCAGTATACATGTCTCTGTATACATGTCTCTGTATACATGCCTCAGTATACATGTCTCAGTATACATGCCTCAGTATACATGCCTCAGTATACCTGTCTCAGTATACATGTCTCAGTATACATGCCTCAGTATACATGTCTCAGTATACATGCCTCAGTATACATGTCTCAGTATATATGCCTCAGTATACATGTCTCAGTATACATGCCTCAGTATACATGTCTCTGTATACATGTCTCTGTATACATGTCTCTGTATACATGTCTCTGTATACATGTCTCTGTATACACGTCTCAGTACACACGCCTCAGTACACATGTCTCAGTATACATGCCTCAGTATACATGTCTCAGTATACATGTCTCAGTATACATGTCTCAGTATACATGTCTCAGTATACATGTCTCTGTATACATGTCTCTGTATACACGTCTCAGTACACACGCCTCAGTACACATGTCTCAGTATACATGCCTCAGTATACATGTCTCAGTATACATGCCTCAGTATACATGTCTCAGTATACATGTCTCAGTATACATGTCTCAGTATACATGTCTCAGTATACATGCCTCAGTATACATGTCTCAGTATACATGCCTCAGTATACATGTCTCAGTATACATGTCTCAGTATACATGTCTCAGTATACATGTCTCTGTATACATGTCTCTGTATACATGTCTCAGTATACATGTCTCAGTATACATGTCTCAGTATACATGTCTCAGTATACATTAAAAACATGCACAATAGGTCTGGCATGCGCCTCCTGTACTGGCGACCCCGCTCCCATCTCTGTGTGGAGTGAGTGGACCAATGCCCAAAAATAATATAACAATTGTAAACCGCTTTGTGACTCTGGTCTGTGAAAGGCGGTATATAAATAAAGATTACTTACTTACTTACTTACATGCCTCAGTATACATGTCTCAGTATACATGTCTCAGTATACATGTCTCAGTATACATGCCTCAGTATACATGTCGCAGTATACATGTCTCAGTATACATGCCTCAGTATACATGTCTCAGTATACATGTCTCAGTATACATGTCTCAGTATACATGTCTCTGTATACATGTCTCAGTATACATGCCTCAGTATACATGTCTCTGTATACATGTCTCTGTATACATGTCTCAGTATACATGCCTCAGTATACATGCCTCAGTATACATGTCTCTGTATACATGTCTCTGTATACATGCCTCAGTATACATGTCTCAGTATACATGCCTCAGTATACATGCCTCAGTATACCTGTCTCAGTATACATGTCTCAGTATACATGCCTCAGTATACATGTCTCAGTATACATGCCTCAGTATACATGTCTCAGTATATATGCCTCAGTATACATGTCTCAGTATACATGCCTCAGTATACATGTCTCAGTATACATGTCTCAGTATACATGTCTCAGTATACATGCCTCAGTATACATGTCGCAGTATACATGTCTCAGTATACATGCCTCAGTATACATGTCTCAGTATACATGTCTCAGTATACATGCCTCAGTATACATGTCTCTGTATACATGTCTCTGTATACATGTCTCTGTATACATGTCTCTGTATACATGTCTCTGTATACACGTCTCAGTACACACGCCTCAGTACACATGTCTCAGTATACATGCCTCAGTATACATGTCTCAGTATACATGCCTCAGTATACATGTCTCAGTATACATGTCTCAGTATACATGTCTCAGTATACATGTCTCTGTATACATGTCTCTGTATACATGTCTCAGTATACATGTCTCAGTATACATGTCTCAGTATACATGTCTCAGTATACATGTCTCTGTATACATGTCTCTGTATACATGTCTCAGTATACATGTCTCAGTATACATGTCTCAGTATACATGTCTCAGTATACATGTCTCAGTATACATGCCTCAGTATACATGTCTCAGTATACATGCCTCAGTATACATGTCTCAGTATACATGCCTCAGTATACATGTCTCAGTATACATGTCTCAGTATACATGCCTCAGTATACATGTCTCTGTATACATGTCTCAGTATACATGCCTCAGTATACATGTCTCAGTATACATGTCTCAGTATACATGTCTCAGTATACATGTCTCAGTATACATGCCTCAGTATACATGTCTCAGTATACATGTCTCAGTATACATGCCTCAGTATACATGTCTCTGTATACATGTCTCAGTATACATGTCTCAGTATACATGTCTCTGTATACATGTCTCAGTATACATGTCTCTGTATACATGTCTCTGTATACATGCCTCAGTATACATGTCTCTGTATACATGTCTCAGTATACATGTCTCAGTATACATGTCTCAGTATACATGTCTCTGTATACATGTCTCAGTATACATGTCTCAGTATACATGTCTCTGTATACATGTCTCAGTATACATGTCTCAGTATACATGTCTCAGTATACATGCCTCCACAGGGGCGCTGGGGGAGGCGGTCTGCTCGGTGGCGGTGAATGAACCAGGAGTGACCGTGACGCGTCTGGCCGTGTCCCGCGTCCCTCGCAGCGGGAAACCTCAGGAGCTGCTGCGTCTCTTCGGTCTGGACCGGGACGCCATCGCTCAGGCGGTCCGCAAACTGCTGAGCGCGAACGCCATGTGAGGCTCAGTGCTGCCGCCACAGGACGCACAGGGAACTGCAGTTTAGTCACCTCTGTTGTAGATGAGATAGAGATTTGATACTTGTTTCTTTGATGCTAGAGTTACTGTAGAGTTATTGTCCTCATTCTACTGCTCTGGAACGCGTGATGCAACACTGACATTTCCCCGCTGTGGGAACAATAAAGGATCTCTTAATATTATTCATTATTCTACATTTTATTATTTTGATCTCTGTTCTTCATTAGTCACACACCAACTCTTTCTGGTCTCTCTTTCTGGTCACTTTCTGGTTACTCTCTGGTCACTCTAGTCTCCCTCTCTAGTCTCCCTCTCTAGTCTCTCTCTCTGGTCTCTCTCTCTGGTCTCTCTCTCTGGTCTCTCTCTGGTCTCTCTCTGGTCTCTCTCTCTGGTCTCTCTCTGGTCTCCCTCTGGTCTCTCTCTCTGGTCTCTCTCTGGTCTCTCTCTGGTCTCTCTCTGGTCTCTCTCTCTGGTCTCTCTCTGGTCTCCCTCTGGTCTCTCTCTCTGGTCTCTCTCTCTGGTCTCTCTCTAGTCTCTTTTTGGTGTAGAGGGAGCAGCGTCTGCAGTCAAAGCTCTGGATTTACCGTTCCCCAGCATCTATGATTGTGAGCTTTTAAGAATGATTAGGCAGAGCTTAGAGACGAGCTCGGAGTATGGCCGCTGCTCCTCCTAAAGCAGAATACAGTGTGTGGACGGAGGCCACAGCTGTCGTACTGTACAGCAGGCATATGTGGAGGGAGAGGGGGTGACCTGTGGTCTGAGTCCTGGTCTATGGTCTCGGTCCTGGTCTGTGGTCTGGATCCTGGTCTGAGTCCTGGTCTATGGTCTCGGTCCTGGTCTGTGGTCTGGATCCTGGTCTGAGTCCTGGTCTGTGGTCTGAGTCCTGGTCTATGGTCTGGGTCCTGGTCTATGGTCTGGGTCCTGGTCTGTGGTCTGGGTCCTGGTCTGTGGTCTGAGTCCTGGTCTATGTCCTGGTCTGTGGTCTGTTGTCTGAGTCCTGGTCTGTGGTCTGAGTCCTGGTCTGTTGTCTGAGTCCTGGTCTGTGGTCTGAGTCCTGGTCTATGGTCTGGGTCCTGGTCTATGGTCTGGGTCCTGGTCTGTGGTCTGAGTCCTGGTCTGTTGTCTGAGTCCTGGTCTGTGGTCTGGGTCCTGGTCTATGGTCTGGGTCCTGGTCTATGTCCTGGTCTGTGGTCTGTTGTCTGAGTCCTGGTCTATGGTCTGGGTCCTGGTCTATGGTCTGGGTCCTGGTCTGTGGTCTGGATCCTGGTCTGAGTCCTGGTCTGTGGTCTGAGTCCTGGTCTGTGGTCTGAGTCCTGGTCTGTGGTCTGGGTCCTGGTCTGTGGTCTGTGGTCTGAGTCCTGGTCTGTGGTCTGAGCTTTAAGAATCATATATTGTATTTGGAATCTTTATGTCTCAGTGTTTACAAAGGTGGACAGCGCCCTCTGGTGGTGAACAGAGAAGGATCTGGGTCAGTCAAAAACTCCCATCTCCATCCTAGCCCTCTCTAGACCCTCCTAGCCCTCTCTAGTCCCTCCTAGTCCTCTCTGGACCCTCCTAGTCCTCTCTGGACCCTCATAGTCCTCTCTGGACCCTCATAGTCCTCTCTGGACCCTCCTAGTCCTCTCTGGACCCTCATAGTCCTCTCTAGTCCCTCCTAGTCCTCTCTAGTCCCTCCTAGTCCTCTCTGGACCCTCCTAGTCCTCTCTGGACCCTCATAGTCCTCTCTAGACCCTCCTAGCCCTCTCTAGTCCCTCCTAGTCCTCTCTGGGCCCTCCTAGTCCTCTCTGGACCCTCATAGTCCTCTCTGGACCCTCCTAGTCCTCTCTAGTCCTCCCTAGACCCTCCTGGTCCTCTCTGGACCCTCATAGTCCTCTCTGGACCCTCCTAGCCCTCTCTAGACCCTCCTAGCCCTCTCTAGTCCCTCCTAGTCCTCTCCGGACCCTCCTAGTCCTCTCTGGACCCTCATAGTCCTCTCTGGACCCTCCTAGCCCTCTCTAGACCCTCCTAGCCCTCTCTAGTCCCTCCTAGTCCTCTCTGGACCCTCCTAGTCCTCCCTAGACCCTCATAGTCCTCTCTGGACCCTCATAGTCCTCTAGACCCTCCTAGTCCTCTCTAGACCCTCCTAGTCCTCTCTGGACCCTCCTAGTCCTATCCGGACCCTCCTAGTCCTCTCTAGACCCTCCTAGTCCTCTCTGGACCCTCCTAGTCCTCTCTAGACCCTCCTAGTCATCTCTGGACCCTCCTAGTCCTATCCGGACCCTCCTAGTCCTCTCTAGACCCTCCTAGTCCTCTCTGGACCCTCCTAGTCCTATCCGGACCCTCCTAGTCCTCTATAGACCCTCCTAGTCCTCTCTGGACCCTCCTAGTCCTCTCTGGACCCTCCTAGTCCTCTCTAGACCCTCCTAGTCCTCTCTAGACCCTCCTAGTCCTCTCTGGACCCTCCTAGTCCGCTCTGGACCCTCATAGTCCTCTCTAGACCCTCATAGTCCTCTCTAGACCCTCATAGTCCTCTCTAGACCCTCATAGTCCTCTCTAGACCCTCATAGTCCTCTCTAGACCCTCATAGTCCTCTCTAGACCCTCATAGTCCTCTCTAGACCCTCCTAGTCCTCTATAGACCCTCCTAGTCCTCTATAGACCCTCCTAGTCCTCTATAGACCCTCCTAGTCCTCTCTGGACCCTCCTAGTCCTCTCTGGACCCTCCTAGTCCTCTCTAGACCCTCCTAGTCCTCTCTAGACCCTCCTAGTCCTCTCTAGACCCTCCTGGTCCTATCCGGACCCTCCTAGTCCTCTCTGGACCCTCCTAGTCCTCTCTGGACCCTCCTAGTCCTCTATAGACCCTCCTAGTCCTCTATAGACCCTCCTAGTCCTCTCTAGACCCTCCTAGTCCTCTCTAGACCCTCCTAGTCCTCTCTAGACCCTCCTAGTCCTCTATAGACCCTCCTAGTCCTCTCTAGACCCTCCTAGTCCTCTCTGGACCCTCCTAGTCCCTCTCTAGACCCTCCTAGTCCTCTCTAGACCCTCCTAGTCCTCTCTGGACCCTCCTAGTCCCTCCTCCAGAAGTGAAATGAAGTGAAATGAAGTGAAATCTCTTGAAAGTGTTTTAATGTCTCTCAGTGGATGTGAGTTTAAACAGAAGTCTCAGGACTAAAAGCCGATACTTTCTAGCTAACGTATTTGCGGCCTGTGCACAGATGGACAATGCTAACCCGCTAGGAAGTGCTCACAGACGAAGTTTTGCATTACTTCAACCGCAATAAGCTAACACCGTGATGGCGTCGCACTCGGTTGGTCAGTAATAGCCTCAATACTCAAACTTAAAATAACAAATCCATTCTGTGCTCAGAGACACTAACAATAAAAACACATGGACAGAGTGTGACATCACCACAGTGTGACATCACCAGTGTGACATCACCACAGTGTGACATCACCACAGTGTGACATCACCAGTGTTAGCCTTCATGTATAAGAGACCGATTTGAACATGAGCTAATTTCCTTATATGGGCATTTGTTCCGTCGGAGTTGGCTTTGTGCCGTAGCAGAGACAGACGTGTTGCTAAGACGGTTGCTAAGGCGAGCTGGAGTTTCCCTATGAATGAAGACCTCTGATTGGTCAATACTTAGGCTCATATCTGGATTTACAAAGACAATAACAGCAGGATCAGAGTGCGATAAAACACAGATTAGAGGAGTTTACTTTTAAATAGAAGTGATTAGGAGCCAGATAGAGGAGCCAAACTTCACCATGAGCACTTCCCTATTGGGTTTTATTGAGCTAGCAGGTTAGCATTGTGCCTCTGTATACAGGCGATGTTTAGGACACACGGTTATTGTCCCGACATGGAAGCTAACAGTTCAGGGAAGCTAACAGTTCAGGGAAGCTAACGTGAGCTAATGCTTGCTTCCTCATTGTGACAGCCACCGTTAGCTAACTCCAGTCCAGTAAAAACAGTTCATCAGCTTCATTCCCACGAGCTGTTGGTTCACTGTTACATTCAACATGAAGACCCGCGGCTCTTCTCAGTGCAGCCTGTATGTGGACCACTTTTACTTTCACTTTCACTTCAGAGGTTCAGTGGAGCAGCCACGGTCGCACACAGAGGGTCAGAGGGTCCCGTCCCTTCTGACGTCACTGCTGGGTTCTTCTTCTTCTTCTTTCTCTTCTTCTTCTTCTTCTGGGCTGGGTCTGTAGGGCCTGGGGCGAGGGCGGGGGCTGAGGCGGGGCCCAGGGCGGGGTCTGTGGGGTTTGAGACACGGTTAGATGTGGACGAATGGAAACAAGAGGACGTTTAAAGAACACGGTTCTGATCAGTGTTTTGGACCCACAATTAAATAATACAGACGGAATATTTAATGAAATATTTATCAGTTTCACTTTGGTGTTTTCTGACTTCATGCACCGGAGCAGGGGTCGGCAACTCAAAGGTTCAAAGACTAAAAACAAATCTGTGTGGAGCCGCAAAAGATTAACAGCCGTGTATAAGGCTCATATGAAGACGCAGGTTGTAAGTGTATTAGTAAGTAAGTAAGTATCCCTAACCCTAAAGGGGCGTTCACACCGGACTTAACTTCGGCGTCAAAAGCGTCAGGTTTCCATTGAAAGTGAATGGTGAAGCGCGTCAGGTGAAGCCGAGAGCCCCGGCGTCACTTGACGCGCGTCAAAAGCTTCAAGAGTCGCGCGTACTACGCGCTCACTTGAAGCTTTTGACGCGCGAAACGCTCGCGTATCACAACAATCCCTTTGACGCCGAAGCTGAGCAAAGCTGAGCTTTTGAAGCTTTGACGCGGGCTTCAACCAATCAGGAGACGAGGAGCAGCAGCAGCAGCAGAGGGTCTATCTCTGTCATGAAGAGAAGTCATGTATCTACTGCTGCTGTTTTATTGTCATTATTGTTATTAGTAATATTATTTGTATGAGTAGTAACATTCTGAGTAACAAAAATCATTGTATACATGCTGTGTAGTAAACGTAGTTTATTTAAAATAAGAACAGGCTGACGATGAGTCTGGCTCAGAGCAAGGCAGCTCCGGGCGGGCGAGAGCCGGGGAGAGGCGAGCGAGAGCCGGGGAGAGGCAGGGAGAGGCGAGCGAGAGGCGGGGAGAGGCGAGCGAGAGCCGGGGAGAGGCAGGGAGAGGCGAGAGCGAGGCGGGGAGAGGCGAGCGAGAGCCGGCGAGCGAGAGCCGGCGAGAGGCAGGGAGAGACGGGGAGAGGCGAGCTCCGGGGTTTGAGAACTCAGACTGGGCGAGTGACATGCGGAAGTACCGCTGAAAGCGAAACTCCTCCGTACGCAGCTCCTGGAGTAAATGACGGAACTCTGCAAACACTGCAGCCTCTCAAGTCTGTGGTGAACCCAGAACATGTTTTGTTGAAGCCCTACAACAACGTTATTTTGCTTTATATAACAAATAAAGGCTCGCTGCTCATTGAAAAATCCACCGCTGTCCTGACTACAGACAACAGAGAAGCTCCTCCCACCGGCGTCAGGCGCGTCACTCGCGTCAAAAGCTTCAAGCACCAAAATGACAAAACTATCCCGGCGTCAGTTGAAGCGCGTCAAAAGCTTTTTGAAGCTTTTGGTCTGAACGCGCCTTAACCCATATTAGCCATATTAGCTACTATCAAAATGACGTAGTATTTTTGTGAGGTATACACTACAGATACATAATATTCATGATCATCAAATGTGTGTTTTCGCTGCAGCGCATGGAGAGGACGACTCTGCTTTAAGGTTAACGTCCATTTTGTTGCGTTCATGCAGAACGACCTCAGTCTGTTTACAGTCTGTTTACAGTCTGTTTACAGCCTGTTTACAGCCTGTTTACAGCCTGTTTACAGCCTGTTTACAGTCTGTTTACAGTCTGTTTACAGTCTGTTTACAGTCTGTTTACAGTCTGTTTACAGCCTGTTTACAGCCTGTTTACAGTCTGTTTACAGTCTGTTTACAGTCTGTTTACAGCCTGTTTACAGCCTGTTTACAGTCTGTTTACAGTCTGTTTACAGTCTGTTTACAGTCTGTTTACAGTCTGTTTACAGTCTGTTTACAGTCTGTTTACAGTCTGTTTACAGTCTGTTTACAGTCTGTTTACAGTGTGTTTACAGCCTGTTTACAGTGTGTTTACAGTGTGTTTACAGTCTGTTTACAGTCTGTTTACAGTGTGTTTAAAGTGTGTTTACAGTCTGTTTACAGTGTGTTTAAAGTGTGTTTACAGTGTGTTTACAGTCTGTTTACAGTGTGTTTACAGTGTGTTTACAGTCTGTTTACAGTGTGTTTACAGCCTGTTTACAGTGTGTTTAAAGTGTGTTTACAGTGTGTTTACAGTCTGTTTACAGTGTGTTTAAAGTGTGTTTACAGTCTGTTTACAGCCTGTTTACAGTCTGTTTACAGTGTGTTTACAGCCTGTTTACAGTCTGTTTACAGTCTGTTTACAGTCTGTTTACAGTCTGTTTACAGTCTGTTTACAGTCTGTTTACAGCCTGTTTACAGTCTGTTTACAGTCTGTTTACAGTCTGTTTACAGCCTGTTTACAGCCTGTTTACAGCCTGTTTACAGCCTGTTTACAGTCTGTTTACAGTCTGTTTACAGTCTGTTTACAGTCTGTTTACAGTCTGTTTACAGCCTGTTTACAGTCTGTTTACAGTCTGTTTACAGTCTGTTTACAGCCTGTTTACAGCCTGTTTACAGTCTGTTTACAGTCTGTTTACAGTCTGTTTACAGCCTGTTTACAGTCTGTTTACAGCCTGTTTACAGTCTGTTTACAGTCTGTTTACAGTCTGTTTACAGTCTGTTTACAGCCTGTTTACAGCCTGTTTACAGTCTGTTTACAGTCTGTTTACAGTCTGTTTACAGTCTGTTTACAGTCTGTTTACAGTCTGTTTACAGTCTGTTTACAGTCTGTTTACAGCCTGTAACAGTGGGATCTGACCCAAGTCTGCGTCGACAGAAATGTTGAAACTGAATATTTCTTATGCACATTTTTACAGCACTGAAAAACATTAAGAATGTCAGAAACTACATAAAAACCACAATCCAACTAGAAATAAAATATAGCCACTCGAGGGGCCCTAAAGAGCCCGGCCCCTCACTAGAGTTTATTACAGATTTGTAAATCCAGATAAGGCTCATATAGATCTACACAGACATTACCACATACAAAAGACAGAGGGCGCTACACCAGATTTCAGCCCAAAAGGGTGAGTGTGACACCGGAGAAATACTCACCAACAGGTCCTGCCGGCTTCTTCTTCCTCCTCTTCTTCTTCTTTTTTGGGGCCAGTGCTGGATCTGTGGAGCCTGGGGTGGAGCCTGGGGTGAGGCCTGGGGTGGAGCCTGGGGTGAGGCCTGGGGTGGAGCCTGGGGTGAGGCCTGGGGTGAGGCCTGGGGTGAGGCCTGGGGTGAGGCCTGGGGTGAGGCCTGGGGTGAGGCCTGGGGTGAGGCCTGGGGTGGAGCCTGGTGTTGCTCCGGCTGGGTCTGTGGTGGTCTGAGATGGCTTCTTCTTCTTCCTCCTCTTCTTTTTCTTCTGGGCCTGAGATGGGACTGTGGGGCCTCCTGTGGGGCCTCCTGTGGGGCCTCCTGTGGGACCTCCTGTGGGACCTCCTGTGGGACCTCCTGTGGGACCTCCTGTGGGGCCCACTGCAGCATCTCCGGCTGAGGCCATGTTGGTCTGAGATGGCTTCTTCTTTTTCTTCCTCTTCTTCTTCGGAGGCTGAGCAGGGTCTGCAGAGGGCTCTCCTGTGGGGCCTGTGGGGTCTGTGGGGTCTGTGGGGGTCTGAGATGGCTTCTTTCTCTTTCTCTTCTTCCTCTTCTTGCTCTGGGCTTGGGCTGGGTCTGAGGGCCCGGTCGCAGGGTCAGGGGCTGGGTCTGGAGCTGGGTCCGTGGTGGCGGTACCAGAGCCGTTCAGAAGCAGCTGCTCTGGATCAGAACCCTCAGACTCCGGGACCAGAGTCTGTTCCACAAACGGAGCAGTGAAGTCTCCGCCCCCATCACTGCAAAAACAAGAGCAAGACGTCAAGATCTTCACAGACCAAACCGTTACGACACATTTGGTCCAAACGCCTGACGAGGATCAGAGACGTGTGGATGGAACCATATTTGGCAAACACAGGAAGTGAACGGATTCTTCTTCTGCAGGTTGTGACTTGAACAAACCGCTGCCGACACCATTCACACATGTTTGGACCAGGGTATGACGCAAAAAATGCAAAACTAAACCCAGGAGATCAAGTCAGGCTTCATTGAGCTAGCATGTAAGCTAGCATGTTAGCATTGTCCTTCTGTATTCAGTAAGACAGCGTTTCCACCGGCTCTGATTAAAAAGTGCCATTTTTTTTATTCTATTAAGAAAAAGTCTGGAAAGTCCCACTGAGACTGCAGAATGTCTGTTGGGGCAACTGCAGCACCTGGAGGTAACCTATGCAGCACGGAGAGAACATGCAAACTCCACTCAGAAAGCCCTGGAGGTGGAATCGAACCCAGGACCTTCTTACTCCAGGTGCTTTATTAGTACCATCTCGGACCAGGACCAGGACCAAGCAGGCTGCCGGAAGCCATGGGGACCAAGGAATTTCCGTGGACACTGGTCTGCTGTGGGTAGGTTGCTAGGATACGGCACCAGCGTGATGAGAAGAGAACCAGAGAGAAGAAATGTGAGCACAGGTACAAACCCACGCACTTCTCCCACTGTGCACTGGGGGCGCTAGAGACCCCACACTGCGTTACATGTGTGTAATAACTATTATTGGAGACATATAAAGAGATAATGCCGCGTTGATGGAGGCGGGTTTAGGCGGTTACGGCCTTATCAGGATCCGGACATTTTAGACCCGTCTGTTAGCTTGTAGCCGTTAGCATTGGGACAAAACAGTTCTTTGGAGACACAGACACATGCACGGACAGACACGGACACATGCACGGACACGGACACGGACACATGCACGGACACACGCACGGACACAGACACATGCACATGCACGGACACACGCACGCACACAGACACTATAGCTGTTACTATTCTCTCCTGTTCTAAGTCATGCATCCGGGTGTTGGCACATGTGCAGCCTGCAGGAAACACTGAACCAGACACAAGAGTGAGTTTATCTCGAGGGAGACCATGAAAGACCATGAAAGACCATGAAAGGCCGTGGTCCGGGTGGAGGCTGACGGAGGCCGCACTCACCGGGGCGGGTAGCGCAGCACGTCCATGGCCATGTGGCTCCTGTGGGGGTTCCTGTGGGGGCTTCTGTGGGGGCTCCTGTGGGGGCTTCTGCAAACGGACTGAGCTGCGGAGGGTCACTGCATTCACCGGAGACTGTACTGCTGCACACGAGGCTCCCGGAGCATTCTGCAGTGGCCTGGACACGGATCCTCCTCCTCCTCCTCCTCCTCCTCCATCCACACATGCTGCATTACTGCCACCTTCAGTTTACTCTGAAAACTCCATCAGTTTTTGAGCCCAGTGACTTTCACAAACTCAGTGTTTCCACATTTTATTTATTGATTCAAGCAGAAATAGTTTATACACAGTTCATAACAGCCACACACATCTGCAGATTAGTATCATGTCAAGTTTCAGACTCTAACATTTGCAGTACATTCAGAACACAGGAGCCTGAGTCCAGATGAGAACCAGGAAGCACAATCACATAGTCCTGCGCTCAGGTCTCTGCACCTGTGGCTCAGAGAGTGGACTTTAAAGAAGCTGTGTTTGTTTCAAGTCTCTCCATGGCCTCAAAGTCCATCTGTGACATGTTAGTGACATATGAACCAGCTCTGAGGAGCACAGGGACTGGCCTCCTGCTGGGACTCTGAGGAGCACAGGGACTGGACTCCTGCTGGGACTCTGAGGAGCACAGGGACTGGCCTCCTGCTGGGACTCTGAGGAGCACAGGGACTGACCTCAGAGTCCCGGCAGGACTCTGAGGAGCACAGGGACTGGACTCCTGCTGGTCCCAGAGTCAGGACCAGACTGACAGACGAAGGGTTTCATCTTCACGTTGTTATTTAACGTGACTATGATTTGAACGCCCAGTGTGATGCTTTCTCTCCGTACTCTGAGCTTCTTTGTGAATGAACTGTGCTATACAAATAAACTTGCTTTGCCTTTTACACATTCCTCATATTTTAACTGTAATCTTATTCAAACTGCATCTGTGAGGCCTGTCTCCTCTGAGGCTGGAGGCTGGCCGGGGTCTGGGAGGCCTGAGCCGGGGTCTGCGGTCTGAGCCGGGTCTGCGGTCTAAGCGGTCTGAACCGGGTCTGCGGTCTGAGCGGTCTGAGCCGGGTCTGCGGTCTGAGCCGGGTCTGCGGTCTAAGCGGTCTGAACCGGGTCTGCGGTCTAAGCGGTCTGAGCCGGGTCTGCGGTCTGAGCGGTCTGAGCCGGTTTGTTCCTCTTCCTCTTCCTCCTCTTCCTCTTCTGGGCCTGAGCTGGGTCCGTGGAGCCGGATGTGGGGTCTCCAGCTGGGTCCACGAGGGTCTGAGTCGTAGAGCCAGGCTGCTTGCTCTTCCTCCTCTTCCTCTTCTTCCTCGGGGGTTGAGCTGGGTCTGTGGAGCGGTCGTCTGTGGGGCCTGGGGTTGGGTCTCCAGCGGGGTCTGTGGGGCCTGGGGTTGGGTCTTCAGGGTCTGAGCTGGGTTCAGGCCCGGGTCCAGGTTCCTCTGGATCAGACTCTGCTCCTGGAGTCAGTTCCACAATCGTGACTTTAGAAGAATCACTGCAAAAACAAAAAGACATTTCTAAAAATCACACTCATGATTGTGTGTCTCTCTGTGGTGTGTGTCTCTCTCTGTGGTGTGTGTCTCTCTCTGTGGTGTGTGTCTCTGTGGTGTGTGTCTCTCTCTGTGGTGTGTGTCTCTGTGGTGTGTGTCTCTGTGGTGTGTGTCTCTGTGGTGTGTGTCTCTCTGTGGTGTGTCTGTCTCTCTCTGTGGTGTGTGTCTCTCTGTGGTGTGTGTCTCTCTGTGGTGTGTGTCTCTCTGTGGTGTGTGTCTCTCTGTGGTGTGTGTCTCTCTGTGGTGTGTGTGTCTCTGTGGTGTGTGTCTCTCTGTGGTGTGTGTCTCTCTCTGTGGTGTGTGTCTCTCTCTGTGGTGTGTGTGTCTCTGTGGTGTGTGTGTCTCTGTGGTGTGTGTCTCTCTGTGGTGTGTGTCTCTCTGTGGTGTGTGTCTCTCTGTGGTGTGTGTCTCTCTGTGGTGTGTGTCTCTCTGTGGTGTGTGTCTCTCTGTGGTGTGTCTGTCTCTCTCTGTGGTGTGTGTCTCTCTCTGTGGTGTGTGTCTCTCTCTGTGGTGTGTGTCTCTCTGTGGTGTGTGTCTCTCTCTGTGGTGTGTGTCTCTCTGTGGTGTGTGTCTCTCTCTGTGGTGTGTGTGTCTCTGTGGTGTGTGTCTCTCTGTGGTGTGTGTCTCTGTGGTGTGTGTCTCTGTGGTGTGTGTCTCTCTGTGGTGTGTGTCTCTCTGTGGTGTGTGTCTCTCTGTGGTGTGTGTGTCTCTGTGGTGTGTGTCTCTGTGGTGTGTGTCTCTGTGGTGTGTGTCTCTGTGGTGTGTGTCTCTGTGGTGTGTGTCTCTCTGTGGTGTGTGTCTCTGGTGTGTGTCTCTCTGTGGTGTGTGTGTCTCTGTGGTGTGTGTGTCTCTGTGGTGTGTGTGTCTCTGTGGTGTGTGTCTCTGTGGTGTGTGTCTCTGTGGTGTGTGTCTCTCTGTGGTGTGTGTCTCTGGTGTGTGTCTCTCTGTGGTGTGTGTGTCTCTGTGGTGTGTGTGTCTCTGTGGTGTGTGTGTCTCTGTGGTGTGTGTCTCTGTGGTGTGTGTCTCTGTGGTGTGTGTCTCTGTGGTGTGTGTGTCTCTGTGGTGTGTGTGTCTCTGTGGTGTGTGTCTCTGTGGTGTGTGTCTCTGTGGTGTGTGTCTTTCTGTGGTGTGTGTCTCTGGTGTGTGTCTCTCTGTGGTGTGTGTCTCTCTCTGTGGTGCGTGTCTCTGTGGTGTGTGTGTCTCTGTGGTGTGTGTCTCTGTGGTGTGTGTCTCTGTGGTGTGTGTCTCTCTGTGGTGTGTGTCTCTGGTGTGTGTCTCTCTGTGGTGTGTGTCTCTCTCTGTGGTGCGTGTCTCTGTGGTGTGTGTCTCTGTGGTGTGTCTCTGTGGTGTGTGTCTCTCTGTGGTGTGTCTCTCTGTGGTGTGTGTCTCTGTGGTGTGTGTCTCTGTGGTGTGTGTCTCTGTGGTGTGTGTCTCTGTGGTGTGTCTCTCTGTGGTGTGTGTCTCTGTGGTGTGTGTCTCTGTGGTGTGTGTCTCTGTGGTGTGTGTCTCTGTGGTGTGTCTCTCTGTGGTGTGTGTCTCTCTGTGGTGTGTCTCTCTGTGGTGTGTCTCTCTGTGGTGTGTCTCTCTGTGGTGTGTCTCTCTGTGGTGTGTGTCTCTCTGTGGTGTGTGTCTCTGTGGTGTGTCTCTCTGTGGTGTGTGTCTCTCTGTGGTGTGTGTCTCTCTGTGGTGTGTGTCTCTCTGTGGTGTGTGTCTCTGTGGTGTGTCTCTCTGTGGTGTGTGTCTGTCTGTGGTGTGTGTCTCTCTCTGTGGTGTGTGTCTCTCTCTGTGGTGTGTGTCTCTGTGGTGTGTGTCTCTCTGTGGTGTGTGTCTCTCTCTGTGGTGTGTGTCTCTCTGTGGTGTGTGTCTCTCTCTGTGGTGTGTGTCTCTCTCTGTGGTGTGTCTCTCTCTGTGGTGTGTGTCTCTCTGTGGTGTGTGTCTCTCTGTGGTGTGTCTCTCTCTGTGGTGTGTCTCTCTCTGTGGTGTGTGTCTCTGTGGTGTGTGTCTCTCTCTGTGGTGTGTGTCTCTCTGTGGTGTGTGTCTCTCTGTGGTGTGTGTCTCTCTGTGGTGTGTGTCTCTCTGTGGTGTGTCTCTCTCTGTGGTGTGTCTCTCTCTGTGGTGTGTCTCTCTCTGTGGTGTGTCTCTGTGGTGTGTGTCTCTCTCTGTGGTGTGTGTCTCTCTCTGTGGTGTGTCTCTCTCTCTGTGGTGTGTCTCTCTCTCTGTGGTGTGTGTCTCTCTCTGTGGTGTGTGTCTCTCTGTGGTGTGTCTCTCTCTCTGTGGTGTGTCTCTCTCTCTGTGGTGTGTGTCTCTCTCTGTGGTGTGTGTCTCTCTCTGTGTGGTGTGTGTCTCTCTGTGGTGTGTGTCTCTCTCTGTGGTGTGTGTCTCTCTGTGGTGTGTGTCTCTCTCTGTGGTGTGTGTCTCTCTGTGGTGTGTGTCTCTCTCTGTGGTGTGTGTCTCTCTGTGGTGTGTGTCTCTCTCTGTGGTGTGTGTCTCTCTCTGTGGTGTGTGTCTCTCTCTGTGGTGTGTGTCTCTCTGTGGTGTGTGTCTCTCTGTGGTGTGTGTCTCTCTCTGTGGTGTGTGTCTCTCTGTGGTGTGTGTCTCTCTGTGGTGTGTGTCTCTCTCTGTGGTGTGTGTCTCTCTGTGGTGTGTGTCTCTCTGTGGTGTGTGTCTCTCTCTGTGGTGTGTGTCTCTCTCTGTGGTGTGTGTCTCTGCCTCAGAAACAACACAACTCTATGGTCTGAAATATAGAGCCACATTTGTGCGTAGTAACGACCTAGTAACCAAAGAACCAATCAGGAGCTGCGCTGCCTTGTTCCTGCTTTCAGAATCAGAAAATGCAGCCACTGTCCATCCGTTTACAGTCTATGATCTCCCCCGTCTCCCCCGTCTCCCCCCTGAGCAGACCCCAGGCTGTAGAGCTGTACCTGGCTGCCTCAGGAGTCTCCTCTCGGTCTCCCCCTCGGGCGTCTCCCTCTCGGGCGTCTCCCTCTCGGGCGTCTCCCTCTCGGGCGTCTCCCTCTCGGGCGTCTCCCTCTCGGGCGTCTCCCTCTCGGGCGTCTCCCTCTCGGGCGTCTCCCTCTCGCCGTCTCTCCAGCAGAGCAACAAAGAAGCCGTGAGTGCGTGTGGAGGAGGGACTGGCCCTCAGGCACTGGGGGAGGGGGGGGAGGCCTCGCTCAGGCCACTGGGGGAGCAGCCACACCAGCCTGAAGCAGAGGGGGAGACATGGTGAGGTAAGGGGGAGACATGGTGAGGTAAGGGGGAGACATGGTGAGGTAAGGGGGAGACATGGTGAAGTAAGGGGGAGACATGGTGAGGTAAGGGGGAGACATGGTGAAGTAAGGGGGAGACATGGTGAGGTAAGGGGGAGACATGGTGAGGTAAGGGGGAGACATGGTGAGGTAAGGGGGAGACATGGTGAGGTAAGGGGGAGACATGGTGAGGTAAGGGGGGAGACATGGTGAGGTAAGGGGGAGACATGGTGAAGTAAGGGGGAGACATGGTGAAGTAAGGGGGAGACATGGTGAAGTAAGGGGGAGACATGGTGAGGTAAGGGGGAGACATGGTGAGGTAAGGGGGAGACATGGTGAGGTAAGGGGGAGACATGGTGAGGTAAGGGGGAGACATAGGGAGTGAGTGGTAAGGGGGAGACATGGTGAAGTAAGGGGGAGACATGGTGAGGTAAGGGGGAGACATGGTGAGGTAAGGGGGAGACATGGTGAGGTAAGGGGGGAGACATGGTGAGTAAGGGGGAGACATGGTGAGGTAAGGGGGAGACATGGTGAGGTAAGGGGGAGACATGGTGAGGTAAGGGGGAGACATGGTGAAGTAAGGGGGGAGACATGGTGAGGTAAGGGGAGACATGGTGAGGTAAGGGGGAGACATGGTGAGGTAAGGGGGAGACATGGTGAGGTAAGGGGGAGACATGGTGAGGTAAGGGGGGGGAGACATGGTGAAGGTAAGGGGGAGACATGGTGAGGTAAGGGGAGACATGGTGAGGTAAGGGGGAGACATGGGTGAGGTAAGGGGGAGACATGGTGAGGTAAGGGGGAGACATGGTGAGGTAAGGGGGAGACATGGTGAGGTAAGGGGGAGACATGGTGAGGTAAGGGGGAGACATGGTGAGGTAAGGGGGAGGACATGGTGAGGTAAGGGGGAGACATGGTGAGGTAAGGGGGAGACATGGTGAGGTAAGGGGGAGACATGGTGAGTAAGGGGAGACATGGTGAGGTAAGGGGGAGACATGGTGAGGTAAGGGGGAGACATGGTGAGGTAAGGGGGAGACATGGTGAGGTAAGGGGGAGACATGGTGAGGTAAGGGGGAGACATGGTGAGGTACTGGGGGGGGGAGACATGGTGAGGTAAGGGGGAGACATGGTGAGGTAAGGGGGAGACATGGTGAGGTAAGGGGGAGACATGGTGAGGTAAGGGGGAGACATGGTGAGGTAAGGGGGAGACATGGTGAGGTAAGGGGGAGACATGGTGAGGTAAGGGGGAGACATGGTGAGGTAAGGGGGAGACATGGTGAGGGGTAAGGGGGAGACATGGTGAGGTAAGGGGGAGGACATGGTGAGGTAAGGGGGAGACATGGTGAGGTAAGGGGGAGACATGGTGAGGTAAGGGGGAGACATGGTGAGGTAAGGGGGAGACATGGTGAGGTAAGGGGGAGACATGGTGAGGTAAGGGGGAGACATGGTGAGGTAAGGGGGAGACATGGTGAGGTAAGGGGGAGACATGGTGAGGTAAGGGGGAGACATGGTGAGGTAAGGGGGGAGACATGGTGAGGTAAGGGGGAGACATGGTGAGGTAAGGGGGAGACATGGTGAGGTAAGGGGGAGACATGGTGAGGTAAGGGGGAGACATGGTGAGGTAAGGGGGAGACATGGTGAGGTAAGGGGGAGACATGGTGAGGTAAGGGGGAGACATGGTGAGGTAAGGGGGAGACATGGTGAGGTAAGGGGGAGACATGGTGAGGTAAGGGGGAGACATGGTGAGGTAAGGGGGAGACATGGTGAGGTAAGGGGGAGACATGGTGAGTAAGGGGGAGACATGGTGAGGTAAGGGGGAGACATGGTGAGGTAAGGGGGGGGGAGACATGGTGAAGTAAGGGGGGAGACATGGTGAAGTAACGGGGGAGACATGGTGAGGTAAGGGGGAGACATGGTGAGGTAAGGGGGGAGACATGGTGAAGTAAGGGGGGAGACATGGTGAGGTAAGGGGGAGACATGGTGAGGTAAAAGACATAGTGAGGTAAGGGGGAGACATGGTGAAGTAAGGGTGGAAGACATGGTGAAGTAAGGGGGGAGACATGGTAGAAGTAAGGGGGAGACATGGTGAGTTAAGGGGGAGACATGGTGAGGTAAGGGGGAGACATGGTGAGGTAAGGGGGAGACATGGTTGAAGTAAGGGGGAGACATGGTGAAGTAAGGGGGAGACATGGTGAGGTAAGGGGGAGACATGGTGAGGTAAGGAGGGAGAGAAGAGAGGTAAGAGAGAAAGCAGAGGCTCGGGTCTCTCTCTCTCCCTCCGGTCTCCCCCTCCGGTCTCTCCCTCCGGTCTCTCCCTCCGGTCTCCCCCTCCGGTCTCTCCCTCCGGTCTCTCCCTCCAGTCTCCCCCTCCGGTCTCTCCCCCCGGTCTCCCCCTCCGGTCTCGCTGTGGTCACCTGAAGGCCTGCTGGTCCCTCAGACAGGTGGAGATAACGTCTTCGTTCTCCTGGCGGTGGGTGGAGCAGGTGGAGTAAACCAGTCGCTGCAGTCGAGGGAAACTCAGAGCGTGTTGGAGACAGCGGAGCTGGAAGGCTGCCAGAGAGGCCAGGCGGGCCGGGTCTGCGGGGGAGTCCTGGTCCAGACACACCATGCCTGCAGGGGAGGAGAGGGGAGGGGAGAGAGGGGAGGGGAGAGAGGGGAGGGGGAGAGAGGGGAGGTGGAAGAGGAGATAGAGAGAGGGAGGGAGAGGGCAGAGAGGGGAGGTGAGAGAGGGGAGGTGAGAGGGGGAGGGGAGAGAGGGGGAGAGGGGAGAGAGGGGAGGGAGAGAGAGGGGAGGGGAGAGAGGGGAGGTGAGAGAGGGAGAGAGGAGGTGAG